CAGCTGCCCAATGGTCTCCTCTGCTGTCCCCTTCAGCATTTCATGTAATCCTGGTTTAGTGATGGTGAATTCCTTTAGCTTTTTCTTATCTGTGAAGCTCTTTATCTGACCTTCAATTCTGAATGATAGCTTTCCTGGGTAATCTTGGTGGTAGGTTCTTGCTGTTCATCACTTTGAGAGTCCAGAGTGCTAACCATTACACGATGGAACCTCTCCTTGTTCATCACTTTGAATATTTCTTGCCACTCCCTTCTGGCCTGCATAGTTTCTGTTGAGAAATCAGCTGACAGTAGGATGGGTACTCCCTTGTAGATAACTAGCTGTTTTTCTCTTGCTGCTTGTAAGATTCTCTCTTTGTCTTTTGCCCTTGGCATTTTAATTATGTGTCTTGGTGTGGTCCTCTTTGAATTCCTCTTATTTGGGATTCTGTGCACTTCCTGGACTTGTAAGTCTATTTCTTTCACCAGGTAGGATAAGTTTTCTGTCATTATTTCTTTCAATAGGCCTTCAATATCCTGCTCTTTTCTTCTGGCACCCCAAAAATCCAGATGTTGGAATGCTTAAAGCCATCTTAGAGGCTCCTTACACTATCCTCACACTTTTGGATTCTTCTTTCTTACTGCCTCTCTTTTTTGTTTTTTGTTTCATCATATTCCAGATCTTTGGTTTGACTCTTGGGGTATGTTGATCTACAGTTGGGTTTCTGTATATTCTTTTTTTTAATAAAAAAATTTTAAATATATTTTATTGATTTTTTACAGAGAGGGAGATAGTTAGAAACGTCGATGAGAGAAACATCGACAAGCTGCCTCCTGCACACCCCCTACCGTGAATGTGCCCGCAACCAGTGTACATGCCCTTGATTGGAATTGAACCTGGGACTTTTCAGTCCGCAGACCGACGCTCTACCACTGAGCCAAACCGGCTTCGGCTGTATATTCTTTATTTCAGACAATGTACCCAGTTTCCTCGAAAATAAGACGGTGTCTTATATTAATTTTTTCTCCCAAGTTGCACTAGGTCTTATTTTCAGGGGATGTCTTAGCTTTCCATGCGCTAGGTCTTATTTTTGGAGGATGTCTTATTTTCGGGGAAACACGGTATGCCTAATTTATGACTGGTCCTTTTCCTTTTTTTTTTTTTTTTTTTTTTTTTTTGTATTATCATTAAGGTCCTTGAAGGTCTATTCAAGTTTCTCAGCAGTTTTTAGAAGATTCTTGAGTAACCTTATAAATATGATTCTAAACTCTGTGTCATCCAATAGTTTATCTTCCTCTATCTCTCCCATTCGTGACATGCTTCTGTGTCTTTGCATTTTGGTTGTCTCCCTGTGTTGATGGAGTGGTTTTGTGTGGTAGGTGACCTATAGGGGCCAGTAGCTCAGCTTCCCCAATCACCCGAGGTGGTTGTTCTTGGTTACACCCCTTGTGGCTGAGTGCAAAGTCTTGGTGTAGTTAAGCCTTGATTGCTGTTGGTACACTGGGAGGAATTGACCTCCAGGCCAGTTGTCTGTGAGGACCTGCTGTTTCTATAATGGAAGAACTGCTGCTTTGGAGACATGCTTATAGCGCAGGCCTTGTTTCAGTGGGACTTTGGTGCTCACTGATTCTGCCTTCCGAATGTGTCACTTATGAATGTGAGGAGTTGAAATCTGGTATCTCACACTGACCATTAGATACAGTGGATTCTGGATCTCCAATGGGGTGCAGTTCAGGTACTGTCTGAGGCCACCCTGTAGGAACTACAGCGAGAACCACAGTCCTCTCCTCCCTGCTTGGAGCGTGGAGGCTTTGGAGCTGTCTGCACCAGATGCAAGTTTGCTAGGTTAAACTGCAATAGAGAGGGCCATTCATATGCAAAAGCTATTGCTTGGAGCTTGGGTGTGTTTGTAGACTGTGCAGGGTGGAGTTTCAGGGCCTCACTAGGCTAGGGGGTGGCAAGCAGTGATGGCTGCCAGTCAGCTGTCTCTGCCTCTCTGACCGTGTCCCGTGTCTTGTGCCCCAGCACAGCAAACAATTATTCTTGTGCGCAGCTCTGCAAGCAAGCCATCCTCACTTTCTAACCTGATGGCAGACAGTCCAGCTTCTTTCCAGAAACTGGATTTCAGAGAGATTAGAAGCTTGTCTCTCTTCGGGTTGAAGAAAGCAACACTCTCCACCAGCTGGGATCCACGGCCAACCCAGCGTATTGTGTACGCCTCCTGTACCTCAGTTTTTCAATGCTTCTTTCTCTCTGTCTAGTTGTAGAGCTTCCACTCAGCCAGCTTTCCCGTGGTTCTGGGTGATAAACGTTTTGTCTTTTAGCTGTAGTTTTGAAATGGTTGTGCCTGGCAGCAGTGTAGGTGTGTTTACCTAAGCCACCATCTTGGATCTCCTATCATCTTTATGACTTTTAACTAAATACAAATACATGTCAACTCTGGCCTGTTCATACCCAGTAGAATTCTCCAATTTCTCACCCATCAAGTATACCTGTCACTTAATCTGGGATGGAGGAGTATACTTGCCACCATGCAGATGAATTTTCTTCCTCTTCTGTGCAACCAATTTACTGTCTCTTGACAGAATTTTTTTAGAACTGGATAGAGATGGTGGTTGCATGATATGAAAGTACTAAGTGCCACATAACTGTTCACTTTGAAGTGGTTAATTTTATGATTTTACCATGATAAAAATTTTTAAATCCTATATAAGAAAAACCTAATATGCAAATAGACTGAATGGCAGAATGACTGCCTGGTGGCTATGACATGCACGGACCACCAGGGGGCAGATGCTTATTGTAGGAGTTGCCCCCTGGTAGTCAGTGTGCTCCTACAGGGCAAGTACTGCTGTCAGAAGCTGTGCGAACACAGCTGTGGTGGTGATAGTGCTGAGGAGTAGAGAGCAGGCAGGCGGTAAGGAGTGAGGGATTCTGGGGAGCAGGCCTAAGCCAGCAGTTGGACAGCCTCTGAGGGGTTTCAGACTGTGAGAGGGCACAGACTGGGCTGAGGGACACACATCCCTAGTGCACAAATTTTATGCATCGGGGCTCTAGTACAATTATAAGGATGTCTGAAGTTAAAATTGAATTCTTCATTCCTGTGATGTAAACCTTCTTCTTTGCCCTCCAAATCTCTTCAGCAGAATCCCTATCAACTACATATCCCCTGTGGGTGTGAGAAAACAGCAATGTCTGGAAAGACTTGGCCCAGATGGGAGAAAGCTGACATAGGACATGGAGATGGTCTATAAATTGAGCAAATTCAGTAAAGCAGGAATTTAGAGCCAGAGGGAACTAGAATGTTAATCTATATGGGCTTCTCAGACATCAAGGGTGAGGCTTTCAACTTGATGGAAAGGGGTTGAGGCAACCTTTTGGCGTTGCTATGGAGCACAGTTGTTATCTTGGCCACCATTAATTGCCGAAACCCGATCATTGTCTCACTAACAGAAAAATGCAAAAGGCTGGTCACCTTGAAGCTCTGAAAGGTCAGAGCCAATCACTCCCTATCTGAGACAATGGTAACTGGGGCAACTTCCCCATCAAATAACCATGTAAATCCTTACTGATATAATCTGCTTATTGTCTGCCTAAGGGCTATGGCTGTATCCCAGACATGCTTAAGGGTAATGGGATAGCAAGGCCAGAGCCTAGAGGCAGTCCTACCACTAGAGGTGGGCTCCCACTGGCCCCCCATATTGCCAAATTAAATTTCTTCTAGTCTTTCATTTGTGTGCGGCCCTTCTCCAGAACCCAAACTCTGAACCAGAACCCTGAACCATGCGGGAGGTGAAAGAGGTTCACACAATTAACAACCAGCATCTTCTCCCCTCAACTTGTGGTAAAGCTACCTTGATTTCACTCTGGGGACCCATTCTTTCTCTGCCTCTTGTCTCAGCTGCTCTCCTCATAAAGATGGAGATCATGACCTGTGCTAAGCTAGCTGGCATATTCCATTATTTTGGGACACGTGACCCAAATTGGACCAATCAGGACCAAGGAGATACATTTCAGGATTTTTGAAAGGCTATTTAGGAAAGCGATGTTCCTGTTCTCCCTCCGGGGAGTTGGAATCTGAGCCACTTTGAGGACAGAGCTAATCCAGAAGAAATGGAGCAGAAGTCCTCATTTGAAGTCCCTTGTCAAGCCAGGCCTGAAGCTTCCTCTGTGTGGGCTTTGCAGTTAGGTGCACCTACTAAATCCATTCCTTTGCTTAAACCAAACTGGGTTGGAACTCTGTCTACAGCTGTACCAACTCCAGAGTGTTTCTCACTCACAGCAAAAGGAACTTGCTTCAGCACTCCTTCCCCATTCTGGGAATAATATAGGTACACAAAGCTGAATTAAAAACCCTGGAGTCAGATGTATATTGCAGTTCAGAATTCTCAGTGTTTAGAAGGTAGTATAGCACATATATAGCATTCATATATGTGCTATACTACCTTATAAGGTCTGGGGCAGCACCCCATAAGTAAACACCTTAAGATTTCTGCAGGGCAGAAACTGAATATTAAGACTACGTGGAATGCAAAAAGACTAAGTAGCCTTTGTTAGCTCAGGTCAGAGTTTCTTGACAAATGAATTTGAACCCTAAATTTATGAAAATGCCATTTTCAAAGCTTTTTGTATTTCAGAATTACAAATGATGGACCTACAAATAATAATAGTTTTCACTTACATAGTGCTCATTGGTGTCCAGCTAATATTAATTGATATCATCCTCACACTGATTCTATAAGGTAAACATAATTCCCATTTTACAGAAGGGAAATCTGAGGCTGGGGTGGGTGAGGTGACTTGCCCAAGGTCACACGGCTAGGAGGTAGCAGAACCAGGATTTGAACGCAGGTTGTCTGACGGCAGAGTCATATGTCCTTCCTTCATGCTATCTGCCTCTAATGGGGATGGTAACGTCTTTGGGGACCCCCCTCCAAAGCCCACGGCTGCAACCCACTTGAGGGGCTGAGGGCCAAAGCCCTTCCAGAGGCCCCAGCCCACTGCCTGCCTTGACCTCTCACCTCCACAAGAAAAAAGTCCGAAAAGCTGGTGTCAGTCAGCAGAACTGACTTCTCCTCAGGAATTCCACCCAGGATGAGCACCGGTGTCTGGTCCACAGTGTACCACAGGGGCCTCGATGGGACATTCACAAAGTACCGGGGTATCAGATTGAAGATCTGCCAGAGGAAGGGGCAGGAGGACTCAACACCCCCACCCTCCTATGGCTCCATCTCACTTAGGGCAAACGCCAAAGTCTTCTCCCTGACCAAAGGTCCCACGCCATTTGCTCCGCCACAACCTCTCTGACCTCATCCCCCTTACTCTTCCCCTTGCTCACTTTTTCCCAGATACATGGGCTTCCTGCTTCTCAGACTGCCCAGAACATTCCCACCTCAGAGCCTTTGCACTGGCTATTCCCTCTGTATACAATGCTCTTCCCCTACGATCTACATGATTCCCTCCCTTTCTCCTTCAAGGCTTTACTCAAATGTCAACCTTCTCAATTCTGTCTTTCTTTCTTTTTCATTAATCTTCACCAGAGGATATTTTTTTCATTGATTTTTAGAGAGTGGAAGGGAAAGAGGAAAGAGAGAGGGAGGGAAGGAGAGAGAAAGAAAGAGGGAGAGGGAGAGGGAAAGGGAAAGGGAGAGGGAGAAGGAAGGAAGGAGAGGGAGAGAGAGAGGGGGAGAGAGAGGGAAAGGGAGAGGGAGAGAGGTGGGGGGGAGAGGGAGAGGGAGAGAGAGAGAGAGAGAGAAATGTGTGGGAGAGATATCAATTACTTGCCTCACGCACATGCCCTGACCAGGACAGGAATAGAACCTGCAACCCAGGTATATGCCCTCGACCGGAAATCAAACCTGAGACCCTTTGGTACACAGGCTGACACTCTACCACTGAGCAACACCGGTCAGGACTCAATTCTGTCCTTCTTAATTATTCCATCAAACACTGCAGTCCCCTCCTGCACAGCCCCTATCCACTGCCTTCTGTCTGACTTCTATCCGGACCACTTTCCACCTCTGCACCAATCACAGAATTTACTTGATTTCATGTTTACTGGTTTGCTGTATGTCTCTCCCACTAGAATGTCAGCTCTAAGAGGTCAGGGACTTGGGTCTATGTGTCCACCGTTTTGTTCGCATGGGGACGCCCTTGTGCTCAGTAAGTGTTTGCTGAATGACTGAATGAATGCACTCTGATTAAGAGTATGGGTGCAGGAGCTAGGCAGACCCAGCTTCAGGTCTTGTTCCATACGTACATGCTGAGACTGTGCAAATGGTCCCATCCCTTTCAAGCCTTAGTTTTATTCTCTTTAAAATGGGTAAGAGTATCTTCCCACACAGGGTCAGTGGTGAAGACGTAATGTGATTGTGCATTTAGTAGAACACTTCACCCGGGCCTGGCACAAAGTAAGTGCTCTAAGTCGGCAGTTTGCCAACTGGTGGACCATGGGCCTCTGGTGGTCCAAAAGGTTGGCAACCGCTGGTTTAAGGAAACCTTTAGAGCAGCAGTCACCAACCGGTGGTCTGCAGACCTCTGTTGGTCCGTGAAGTCCGAAAGGTTGGCGACCGCTGCTCAAAGTGGAGCATGCCACTTGTGTGGGGAGTAATCAGAGCCCCGGCCCACTGTCTTTAACCTGCGCCTTCTGCTGTGCCCACTGTCCAGGCCCCCGTACCTCATTTCCCACGGTGAACTGGAGTCTGTTGTCATGTTGTCTCTTCAGAAAGCCATTGATGTTCACCTGATACCTGGCAGCGGTGTGGGGCAGGCACAGGCCAGGGTTTGGGTTCATGGACTCCTGCCACAGCTCATAGCAACCCCCCCACCCTCACCCTACTCCTTCCCATGGTCTCCTCCTGGTTTCTTTGGTAATCTGGAGATAAGGAAGTCCCTCCCAGAATCCACCCTGTAACCTGGGTGTGGGGAAGGGCACCTTTTATTGGGGATGAAGGGTCCGAGGCCATTGCTGCTGACATCCACATGCATGACCACACTGCCGTTCTTGACGGGCATGGGTGTGTACCAGCTCATGACACACACCTCCTCTGCACTGCACTGCTCTGCTGGAAAGCAGGGGGCACTGAGGGGACTGGGATCTCCCTGCAACTTCCCATGTCCTGCTCTACGCCATGAACCCCACTGGGCCTCTGTGTAGCCCTGTCTAGGCCATGAAACCTGCTGAAGCCTCCTCCCCATACCCTCCTCCAGGTCATAGACCTCACTGAGGACCCCCAACAAACCCCACATTTCCACCAGGTCATGGACTCCTATGATGACCCCAACCTCCCTCTCCAAGTCATGACCCCTTCCAAGGCCCCAAAATCCCCCACCCTTCCAAGCACCCCCGCAGGCCCACCTTTGCTGCGGAAGGGGGCTGCCTCCATCTGGATCTGCAGCTGTTCTAACTTCCAGCGATTGAAGTTAACCGGGGACTGGAAGATGACCAGCACCACAGGCTTCAGCCCCGTCAGGTGGCCCTTGCGCACCAGAGCCTCGGAGGACTGAGGGCGAGATAGCCCCACAGGTGTGTCTGTAAGATAACCTCTGGCCCCCTGCCTTGACATCATCTCTAGTAGCCTGTTTTAATGGGCTGGGTAAGGGAGAACAGAATTTCCACCAGGGGAAGGTCAGAAAACGTGGTCTAGGTTTGGAGCTGGGATGGAGAACAGACCAGACTAGGAGAGAGGCTTCCTGGAGGAGGTGAATCCAGGGCCACGGTCTTCAGATAGAATTTAAATGTAGGGAATATTCAGAGAAGGGTAGTATGGGATAAGCAAAATTGTGATGGCTGGAATGAACCTGGCACCCAGAACTATTAATAGCTTCTCCCTCATTTAGGGATTCCCAAGCCCACTCTTGAGGTTTCCTGCCCCCCCCCCCCCCCAAATGAGACTCTGCCACCTCAGTAGTCAAAAGATGGCCAGGGTTGGGGCTGGGACCTGGGGTAAAGGTGGGATGAAACAGAGGACAGAAAAGACGGGGGAAGAGGGTGAGGGGCAGCCAGAGACAACTTCTCAGAGATGCCAGAATCCTGGATGGGCTGAGAGGGACAGGCAGGGCTTAGGGTGGAGATGAAAGGAGGAAGGAAGGGTACTACAAGTGTTTGGAACAAGCATATGCAAAAGGCTGGGTGAATTCTCAGGAGAAGGCTGCATTCAGGCCAGAGTGCGCTTCGAGACCAGGGTGAGACACTTAATGGTCTAATCCCCTTTGCCCAGGCTTTCCTCTCTGTATGGATTACCCTTCATAAATATTGTATGTATGTACTTACTGATCGCTCTCCTGATGGGCTAACTCAACAAGAAAAACCTGTCTGTGTTGTTTATCACTGTACCCCACTGTAAAAGAGAATCTGACCCATAGTAAGTGTTGCATGAACGAATAAAGGTATTATTACCACACTTTTACAGGTAAGGAGAGATGGTTCACGGAGTAAAACTCTATGCCCAGCTGAAACCGGTTTGGCTCGGTGGTAGAGCGTTGGTCTGCGGACTGAAAGGCCCCAGGTTCGATTCCGGTCAAGGGCATGTACATGGGTTGCAGGCACATCCCCAGTAGGGGGTGTGCAAGAGGCTAGTCGATGTTTCTCTCTCATTGACATTTCTAGCTCTCTATCTCTCCTTCCTCTCAGTAAAAAATCAATAAGATATATTAAAAAAACAAACAAACAAACAAAAAAAAAAACAACTCTATGCCCAGGGTCATGCTCCAGAAGCTTGTTGCTAGCATTCACTGCGCCCCTTCTGTGAACCAGACACTGTGCCGAGAGGTTCACACATAGCTAACCATTTTATGAAGTTGGCATGATCACTGCCTTACCCTTGATAAGGATGAGGTAGCTTTGGAACAGAGAAGTGAAGTAACTTTCCTGAGATCACAGCTATGACGGTATAGGATCTGAACCCAGGCAGCCTGGCTCCAAGTGTTAACAATCATGCTATTCTTCCTCCAAGTAAATGTTAATCAGTGGCAGATTCAAACTCAAGTCTACAGAACTTCCTTTCTAGACCACAACATTCCATTGTCTTCAAAAAGCTTACTTGAGCCAAAACAATCTTGAAAAAGAACAAAGTTTGAAGACTCAAACTCCCAATTTGAAAACTTACTACAAAGCTATAGTAATCAAGACCATGTGATACCAGCATATGGATAGACATGTAGAACAATGGAATAGAATTATACCAAAAACAAATCCTTATATTTATGGTCAATTGATTTTTGACAAGGGTGCCAAGACATTTCACTGGGGTAAGGAATGATATTTTCAACAAATGGTACTGGGATTAATTAGGTATTTACATATCAAAGTTGAATTCTTTTTTATTTTATTTTATTTTTTAATAGATTTTTATTGATTTCAGAGAGGAAGGAAGAAGGAGAAAGAGATTGAAACATCAATGATGAGAGAATCATTGATGGGCTGCCTCCTGCACATCCCCTACTGGGGATTGAGTCCGGAACCCAGGCACGTGCCTTGGCTGGAATTGAACCCAGGACCCTTCAATCGACAGGCCTACGCTCTATCCGCAAAGCCAAACCAGCTAGGGTCAAAGTTGGATTCTTACCACACACCACATACAAAAATGAATTCCAAATGTTTTGAAGACCTAGATGTAAGAGTTAAAACTTAAAACTCTTGGTAAAACCACAGGAGTAAATCTTCATGACCTTTGGTTGGGCAAAGCCTTCTTAGACAACACCAACAGCACAAACAACAATAACAAAACAGATAAATTGGGCTACATTGAAGTTTAAAACTTTGTGCTGTTTTAGTTTATTGAGATATATTTTATTAATTATATCTCAATAAACATAAAGCTTTTGTGCTTCAAAGGACACCATCAAAAAAGTGAAAAGACAGACTCATAAATAGAGAACAGACTAACAGCTGTCAGAGGACAGGGGGTTGGGTGAAAAAGGTGGAAGGATTAAGCAACAACAACAATAAACCTCATAGACACAAACCACAGCACGGTGATCACCAAAAGGGAAAGGTAGGGAGGTAGGAGTATAAGTGGGATACATGGTGACAGAAGGAGACTTTACTTGGGGTGATGAACAAACGATACAATATAGCTGATGTATTATAGAATTGTACACCTAAAATCTATATAGTTTTATTAACCAATGTCACCCCAATAAATTAAATCTTAAAAAAAGAAAGTGAAAAAACAACCAATGGAGTATGACAAAATAGTTTCAAATCATACATCTGATAAGGAACTATTATCAGAATATAATAAAAATTATACAACACAACAATAAAAAGACAACCCAATTTTTAAATGAACAAAAGATCTGAATGGACATTTTTCCAAAGGTAGATAAATGGCCAATGAGTACATGAAAAGATGCTCAAAATCATCAGTTATGAGAGAAATGCAAATCAAAACCACAATGAGATACCATTTCACACACACTAGGATGGCTATAATAAAAAAGATGGACAAAGACAATTGAGGATGAAGAGAAACAGGAACCTTCATAGATTGGAATGGAAAGTAGTACAGCTGCTTTGGAAAATAATCTGGCAGTTCCTCACAAGTGAAAGGGAGTTAACATATAACAGAGCAATTCCATTCTTAAGTATATACAAAATAACTGAAAACCTGTTTACATGTTTACACAAAAATCTGCACACAAATGTTCATAGCAACATTATTCAGAACAGCCAAAAAAAAAAAAAAAAAAGTGGAAATAACCCAAATGTTTATAAGCTGGTTTGGCTCAGTGGATAGAGCCTGTGGACTGAAGGGTCCTGGGTTCTTCTGGTCAAGGGCACATACTGCGATTGTGGGCTTGATCCCCAGTAGGGGATGTGCAGGAGACAGACCATCAATGATTCTTTCATCATTGATGCTTCTATCTCCTTTCCTCTTCCTCTCTGAGATCAATAAAAAATTTTAAAAAAATGTTTACACAAAAATCTATATACAAATGTTCATAGCAGCATTATTCAAAACAGCCAAAAAAGTGGAAATAGTCCAAATGTTTATAAATTAATGGATTAAAAAATGTAATAACTAGCCAAAATCGGTTTGGCTCAGTGGTAGAGCGTCGGTCTGCGGAATGAAGGGTCCTGGGTTCGATTCCGATCAAGGGCATGTACCTTGGTTGCGGGCACATCCCCGGTAGGGGGTGTGCAAGAGGCAGCTGGTCGATGTTTCTCTCTCATTGACGTTTCTAGCTCTCTCTCTCCCTTCCTCTCTGTAAAAAATCAATTTAAAAAATGTAATATCTATATAGTTGAATATTATTCAGCTATAAAAAGGAAATATTGATAGATGCTATAACATGGATGAACCTTGAAAATGTATGCTTAGTGGTTAGAGCTTCAGCCCTAGGTCTGAAGGGCCATGGGTTCCATTCCCAGTCAAGGTTTCAATTCTCTGTCAAGGTTCATGTACCTGGGTTACAGGATGGTCCAAGGCATATGTAGGTGTCAACTAAGGGATGTGTTTTTTTCACATGGATGTTCCCTCTCTATTCCTCTCTTTCTCCCCCCTCTCCCCTCTCTTCCTTCCACTCTCTCTAAAAAGCAATGGAAAAAGAAATATCCTATACTGAAGATTAACAAAAACAAACAAACATGCTAAGTGAAAGAAGCCAGACATAAGAGGCTACATAATATACTGCCTGAAATGAGCAAAGTCATAGGGACTGACTGTAGATTAGTGGTCTCCAGAGTCTGGAGGGGTGGGGTACAGGGTTTCTTTTTGAGGTGATGAAAATGTTCTAGAATTAGTGGTGATGGTTGCACAAGTTTGTGAATACACTAAAATTATTGGCTTGTACATTTTAAATGATGAATTTTATGGCAGGTGAATTATATCTTAATTTTTTAATGAAAAAAAAACACACACACACATGCTTATTTGAGCACTTACTACCCATGTTTCCCCGAAAATAAGACATCCTCCGAAAATAAGACCTAGCGCATGGAAAGATAAGACATCCCCTGAAAGTAAGACCTAGTGCAACTTTGGGAGAAAAAATTAATATAAGACACTGTCTTATTTTCGGGGAAACAGGGTATGTGCCGGGTGGGGCACTGGCAACTGTTGTGACTCCTTTAGGGCTCCCCGGGTTTGGTGGTGCCACTACATGATAAAGTTAGAAAAGGGGAAACTGAGGTTCACACAGAATGAGCCCGCTCGAGCTGCAAACACTCACCTCTCCTTTGCAGGAGTAGTTGATCTTCAGGTAGTAGGGGAAGCCCAGGTATTTCTGCAAGGAGAGGTTGGGCAAATGTCCAGAGCCCAATCGGATGCACTTCCAGGACCTCTCCCACTCACCTGACCCCAACCCCCTCACCTCCTTCTGGTGGATAGGCGCGTCCACCAGAACGCCAAACAAACTGTCCACTGTGTCCAGGGGCTCTTGCTCAAAGAAGCGGTCACTCCCATGGTTCTTGCCTATCGTATCGAACTTGTTCAGGACAACCTGCCAGGTGCACTCCTGATTACCTTCGACAGCCCACAGCCGCCACGGCGACAACAGCACCCCCGTCAGCGCCAACAGGACTCGGAGTCTCGGCCACGAAGGGCCAGCAGGGTTCATCACGAGGCAGCGCGCAGCTGGAACTGGAGAATGCGGGGGTCCACACCCGCTAGCAAGACTGCGCTCCGGGCCCCCTTCTGAGATCCCACCTCTGTCCTTGCTTCGCCCAGCGCCTTCCTGCATTCGGCCCCCACCTGCTCCTGGCCCCGGCCCTGCTCCCGGTTTGCTCCCTCTGCTCACCTCTCCCGCAGCCTTGCGCCACCTTGTTTCTGGCTCTACCCCTGCCCTGCACCGCTCTCTGTTTCTCACTGTGGCTGCGTCCACCTATCTTCCCCAGGCCTGCTCCTCCCCCGATATCGCGCCTGCACCTCGCCTCACCCCACTTCTTGGCCCGCCTGCCCACTTCTTTTTGTATCGCCCTTTCTCCTGTGCGAATCTAGACTGCGTCCGGATCCTGCGCCTAGCCCGCCCCTCTCCCGATCCTGGACCTTCTCCACGCCCGCGCCCCCCGCCCCGCCCCCCGCCCTGTTTCTCATCCAGGGCTCGCTTCCCGGTTGCCTTTCTCCCGCTCCTCGGCCTGCCCCCTACGGACGCCCTCTTTCCCCCCCCCCCCCCCCCCCCCGTCCCGCCCCGAAAGGCTGCTCCCGGGCCCACGCCCCCCGCCCCGCCCCAGGCCCACCCCGCCCGCCCCCTTAGAGGCCGTCTTCCGCTCCCTTCGGCCCCGCACCTCAGCTTCGTTCCACCGCGGGGCTGTCTCCTCCATCTTCACCTCGCCGACTCCGACACCTTTCCGTCTCACCGCTCTGCACACCCCTTTCCATGCTCTGTCCACATGGGCTCCCGCCCGCCTCTTCTCGCCTCTTCCCCTCATCTCCCCGCCTCCGCACGGTCCCTCTGCTCGCCTCCCTCCCTAGGACGGCACCCGGCACCTCTCTTTCCTCCCCACCCGACCTACCAGTCACTTCGGTAAAACCGGCCGACCGCTCGCTCTGCCCGCACTTCCTCAACTGCCTGCGCCGCCCGGACCGCGCGGCGGTCTCCACGGCAACACGCCCGGCACCGGCGGCGCGGGGACCCGCCCGCAGAGGGCGCCGGGACAGTTTGTGATACCTGCGCGCGCTTCTACCCAATCAGGCTTTTGTGTTAAAATGCCACGCCTCAAAAAGTTTGGTCTCCGCCGAAACCGGTTTGGCTCAGTGGATAGAGCGTTGGTCTGTGGACTGGAAGGTCCCGGGTTCAATTCCGGTCAGGGGCATGTACATTGGTTGCGGGCACACCCCAGTGTGGGTGTGTACAGGAGGCAGCTGGTCAATGTTTCTCTTTCATCAGTGTTTCTAGCTCTCTATCTCTCTCCCTTCCTCTCTGTAAAAAAATCCAATAAAATATATTTTTAAAAAAGTTTGGTCTCCTTGTGGGAATTAATCAGACTGCAGTTCACTCTCCTCAACAAAACAGAACAAAGGCGGCCATTGTGTAGTTATTGTGGGAAGTCAATAAGGTGACACCTGAAGAGTGCCTGGCGCAAGTAAATATTCAGGTTGACAATTTCCATTTATATCCTGATGCCTAACAAGGATTCAGTCCATGACTTTTTAAAATCCTCACCTGATAGTTGGTCCGAAGGTTGTGGGTTATTGTTAAGCTGATTAAAATCCTCACCTGAAGATGCTTTATTATTATTATTATTATTATTATTACTTGAGGCCTCTTGCATGGGGTCCACCCGTCCCCCTCCCCCCCCCCAATTAGGGTGGCTTGCGGTCGGGGGCCGGGAAGATGGTGGTTGTACTGGGCACCTCTCCCGGACACCTGACTGATGGTCCAGACCGTGAGCAGTTTTCCTCCTGATCACTCATCATTCAGGTTCCTGGTATATGAAGACTGGAGAGCGTTTACTTACTTAGAATCCTGATGGGGGCGGGGGGCGGGGAAAGGAGGGAGGCGCCGCCCTCTATAGGCCCACTGGTTTGCAGTTTGTGTCATAGCCACTGGTCACTCTGGTCGTTCTGCTGTTCAGTCACTTGGCTTTTATATATATTTATATAAATTATTGACTTGAGAGAGAGGAGACATCCATATTAGAGAGAACCATGGGTTGGTTGCCTCCCTTAGGCGATCTCACTGGGAGCAAATCCAAAACCTAGACTTGGAATTTAACCTGCACCCTTTTGATGTATGGAAGATGCTCCAACCAACTGAGCTACTAGGCAGACCATTACTTCTTGATGAACTGCAGAGCTGACTTTATGCTAAACCAGTAGTTTTCCAACTTAGCGGGTATTAGACTTGCTGGAAGAACTTGTTCAAATAGGTTGTTGGGATCCACCTCCTGAGTTTTTTATTCAGTAAGTCTGAGGTTGTTACAGAAGACTGGAGAAAAACCAAGCAATGCTTAGAGAAAGGGGAATTACATTTTATTATAATTACTAGAGGCCCGGTGTGTGTGTGTGGGGGGGGGGTGTCCCTCAGCCCAGCCTGCACCCTCTCCAATCTGGGACCCCTCTCACAACCCAGAACTGCTGGCTCCTAACCGCTCACCTGCCTGCTAGCCTGATCACTCCCTAACCACTCCCCTGCCAACCTGATCAATGCCTAACTGTTCCCCTGCCAGCCTGGTACCCGCTAAAAGCCCACCCTCCATTGCAGGTCTGGTCATCCCTAATTGCCCTCCCTTGCCAACCTGATCACCCACAACTGCCCTCCCTTGCCAGCCATCTTGTGGTGGTCATCTTGTGACCAGAGGGGGGCAATAGTAAATGTGCATATCTCTTTATTATATAGGATGAGCAGGCCCAAAAAAATGTGTCTTTCAAATTCTGAGGCCCCAACATGGAGGAAACTTTCCCTATTTGTACTTTTTTTCAGCTCTTTATCTTCCAAATTTGGAATGAGATTTCAGGACCTTCTGAGAAAAGTCCTATGTGCTGGGAAGGAGTCATGAGACCATATCTCAACACCTGGCCTAGCACCAGCACTGGAACTCTATGTAGCATAGTTTATGGTCTCTCTGGAATGGGAGTAATCTTATTTGCCTTATTATTTAAGCAAGCAAGCATTTACACAAGCCAAAATAGCAGGGATAAAGTTTTTTTAAATATATAGTATTGATTTTTTTTTTACAGAGAGGAAGAGAGAGGGATAGAGAGTTAGAAACATCGATGAGATCGATCAGCTGCCTCCTGCACACCTCCTACTGGGGATGTGCCCGCAACCAAGGTACATGCCCTTGACCAGAATCGAACCCGGGACCTTTCAGTCCGCAGGTCGACGCTCTATCCACTGAGCCAAACCGGTTTCGGCAGCAGGGTTAAAATTTCAAACAGCAGTTATTATATAAGATGGAGGTTATTATGCTTCAAGGTGGGGTCTGAAAATGTGTACTTCTACCAAGTTTCCAGGTGTGGAAACAGGAAAATACAATTTCTTCCCATAAGCTCTTCTAGCTGGTCTTATGATTAGATTAATATGAGATAGGTTATTAGGAAAACATATCACAAGTTTATTTCAGATGTACATGCTGCGGTGCCATAAAACAGCAGACCCAAAGAGGCTTGGGGCAGTTGAAGTTTATATGCCATTCTGGAGCTAAGGAGAGGAGGGGGGAGGGGGGTTGTGGTTTGCCACCTCTGAGGCAGAAAGGAAATTCACATGGACATAGAAAAGCAGATGCTCCGCAGCCTTGTTTAACAATGGGACACAGACAGGACTCTGTTCAATTAAGGCTTTCCAGGTGTCCCCCTGCTCTCACACCTGGTTCCTATTGAATTGTAGTTATCTTTGACAATAGCTCCCGTCAGGAGCAGCTCCTCTATCTCTTGTTAAAAATAACCAGCTTGAGCCAAAATTGGTTTGGCTCAGTGGATAGAGCATCTGCCTGTGGACTGAAAGGTCCCGGGTTTGATTCCGGTCAAGGGCATGCACATTGGTTGTGGGCACACCCCCGGTAGTAGCAGCTGATGTATTTGTAGGCTCCTGCCCCTAGTCCACCCACAGGCCAGGGGAGAATGACTTCACCTGAGAGCGGAAACTCAGCAGCTGTGTACCTGAGCCCTTCTAGATTCCCGAGCAGAATCGGAGAGACTAGAGTCTTCTCATGGCACCTCAGCTCAGATATACAGTCCCATGGGGGAAGAGGGGGTCTCTGTGAGACCTTGACACAAAGGTACACCCTGCAACATCCTTTATACCAGAAACTGCCAACTACCACGTGTCCATTAAGGAGACCTCGGAATAATTTATAGGATGTGTGTCCTAGAGGAGGCACTGCAGAAATTAGAAAGGATTTAAGACCTACTTGGGTGTCTCTGGGATTACTGGGTTGGTGGAAGAAAGAAATCAAGGTGCAGAAATAAGAATATTAGAAAAAGTGTATAAAATTTTATATAACATATAAAAAAGCAAAGTGCAGAAATTATGATTAGCTAACATTTTAATGAATACCAGACGCTGTTCTAAGAGTTTTACAGATATTAAATTGCTTAATTCTCTAACAAGCCCATGAAGTAGGTGCCATTATCCTCCCATTTTACAGATTGGCAAACTTAGGCACAGGGAGGCAAAATCACCTGCCCTGATTGGGAGTGGTAGAGTTCTGATTCCTTGCAGGGACTCTGCCTCCAGAATCTGTAATGGTAACCAACTACCTCGCCACACTAGATACCATTTGTGTAGAGTCAAAGACACTGGCACACATGCATATTGCTGGTATTTGTCTGAGAAATCAGTCAACACAGCCTGAGTGCTGGAGACTTTCCACCATACACTCTTTTGTACCTTTTGAATTTTTAGCATGCACTTTATTAAAAAAATTTTTTTTATTGATTTCAGAGAGGAAGGGAGAGGGGGAATAGAGATAGAAATATCAATGAAGAGTATCATTGACCTGCTGCCTCCTGCATGCCCCCTACTGGGGTTGAGCCTGCAACCTGGGCATGTGCCCTTGACTGCAATTGAATCCAGGACCCTTAAGACACAGGATCCTTCGGTCTACATGCCGAAGCTCTACCCACTGAGCCAAACCAGCTAGGGCGGCATGCACAATTTTTAAAAATGTCTTCAACTAAATAGGGTCTGGTTTCTTTTTCAAGAAGGGGAGAAACAACTGCCTCCCCAGCCAGCTGCTGACTAGCACGGTGAGGAGACAGAAGACTGGGAGGCTGAGAAAGAGCTCGACAGCAGGTGTTTCTGAACTCTCATGGGACAAGGTGACAAATCAAAACCTTGCTCAAACCCATTTCGCACTTCCTGTGTGACCTTGGACAAATTATTTGACTTCTCTGGGCTTCTTTTCCTCAACTATAAAATGTAGTGAGAATGTACCTAATAGTTGATAAGAGGAGTAAATAAATTATTTTTTAAAATAAGAGGAGTAAATAAATCAAGGGCTTGAAGAGTGCCTAGCTCATAGTAAATCCTATATGTGTTTTCTATTACTATTATTAAAACAATCTTGTGTGCTTTTTTAGCATGATTTGACAATGTTGACTTTTTCCTTCCTAAAATACTCTCATTCTCTTACCAATACTCCCACCCACCTGGTTTTCCTACTCCTCTCTGGATCTCTTTTCCTGTCTTCTTTGTAAGCTCTTCTCTCTAGAATAAGGATATTGGTTGAAGGGACACTGCTCATCATAGGGGCCTTTACTTAGAAGAAGAAGCCTCCAAAAGCCTCGAACTTCAGACCCTATTTGTGTCCACCCGGCCAGCCAGGCTTACCTTATGTAGGTCCCAACCTGTAGAATTGTACATGATGGCCTGGGCTGATTTGTTAATCAATATCCATCCATCCTCCCACTCTTCTGCCTTTCCAATAGAAGCCCAATATCATTCAAGTATTAACCAGCCTCCAGGCTGAAACCTTACCCCCAGACTCAGCTCTGGAGAACAGGAGGAATCCTGAAGAATCTAAACTAATCCTGAATTCCTCAGGCCAATGATTGGCTCGGATGGGCACGTGAGACAATTCTGGCCAATGATATTAAAGAGGAAGTCTGCTGGGAGGCTTCAGGAAAAGATTTTCTTGCTTCCAGAAACAGCATGGAAAAAGATGTCCCTCTCTTCATGTACTAAAAATGATCACATCTGGTTGTGATGCCTGAACCTGCAGCAGCCACTTTGGGGCGATCAGGGGAGTCCATGAGGGAGCCAAACATTCAGCTGAGGGTGGCAGAGCAGAGAGGGAACCTGGGGTCAAAGACCCTCCTGGAGCTGTCACTGCATCATGCCTAAAGCTCTTCCCAACTCTGGTGATGTGCACTAAAAACTCATCTCATTGTTTCACCTCGTACCAGTCTGGGTTTTGTTACCCGCTGCCCAAATCTTACTTTACTGATATAAAATATAAATATTCTTACGCTGATTTCTCAAGGCTGGTCTTCTCTTCACTCCTACCTCATGGATTGTTTCCTGCATCTGTCTCCAGCATCAACCACTCTGAGCCCCAGCCCCAGGGGCTCTGTGGCCTCCTGATATTCTCCCCTGGATGTCTTCGGCCCCTCACCCTCACCATGTTCCAAACTAGCCTCAGCATCTTCCCTCAAACCCGCTCTTTCTCCAAGGCCCCCATCTCAAGTGCAGCTGACCATCCCTTGCACCTTTCCATGGCCTTGTTCCCCACCACAAATCTATAAGGCCTATGGCCTGTCCACTTGGCCTTCTGAACATCTCTCCACCTGGACCCCCTCCAGTTGGCCCTGTCCAGCCCATGGTCTTCTGCTTTGTCCCCGCCACAGCCTTCCCCGGGCACCCAGCCTTTGTCTCCCCCTCTCATCTACATCCACAGAAAAGCTGGGGATTTCTGACCCTGTTCTGATAGAACCCTGCCATGATTCTCTAGTGTCCTCAAGAAAGAAGCTGCTTCCCAAGCTGATCATTTAAAAACACTGAGCAGGGCCATGTCAACCACACCACTATCCTTCCCCCATTCACTCCACACTCGTCCCAGAAGCTGATGTCTAACATGCTCTCCTACCTCCAGGCCTTTGCATACATGATTCCTTCTGTCTTCCCATTTGTCTACTATCAAGGCCTGGCTCAGATGCCCATTCCTTGTCAGCTTCATATGGCTTGGAAGAGGTAACAGCTCAGTGGAAGGCCTTTGGCAGTGAGTGCTATTGCTGATGTTTCATTATGGTGGGGGTGAGGGAATAAAACCTATTACTTCCTTGTGTCTAAAACAAGGAACTTCCCCTCCCATGCCTCAGCTTCCTCATCTCTGGAGAAAGGATATTTTTTCATGTAAATTACCCAGAACAGGGCCTACCCAAAGCACCACAGAATAACATGGCAGGCTCTGTGAAGTCATCTTGTGAAGCACTATTATTATTACTGCCATTTTGCAGATGAGGGACCTGAGACGCACAGGGGAAGTGACTGCTGGAGGAGATGGGCAGTATGCAGCGGAGTTGGGATTGAGCCCAAGCAGGCTAGCTCCAAAGCTCACAGAATATGCTCTTAGTGCTCCACAGTGGGGACAGCTGTTACAGCAGTGCTGTGGCTAAGAACTGTGCCTTCTGTGGCATTCAGATCCTGTTTCCTGCTGAGGAAGACTCTAGGAACCAGGCCTACCCCAGGGCTCTCTGCATGGGTCTTGTTCCCTGGAGACACATGAGGAAAATCAGTTACACCTTCTTCTCTTGACTACTCGTATTTCAGGGGTGAGCTCAGTTGTCCCTTCCTCCAGGAAGTCCTCTCTGACCTTCCAAGTTGTATTGGGTGCATTCTATGTTTTCTCTATCACACCGCTAACTACTCTGTCTCTGCTATTAAAGTCCTGCCAGTTCTGGGCTCACTGTCTGTGTGGGGATGTCTGTCTGTTACTAGACTGTGAGCCCCAGGAGAGCAGGGCCCAGCTACATCACTAACAATACCTAACATAGAAGAGTTTGGGATGAATTAATATACAGGGTGGGGCAAAAGTAGGTTTATAGTTGTGAGTACACGAAACAGTTTATTCTTGTATTATTTATTAAATATTGTATTATTTTCCATATGAACAACTGTAAACCTACTTTTGCACCAACCCCCCCTCTGTGTTCTTTCCACGATAAGGAAATGAAGGCTCAGAAAGGACTGTCATTTTCCCAAGCTGTAGTGACTGATCTAGTGCCTGAAATGAGAGCCCAGAGCCTGGTAGGACTGTAGATGGTGAGTTGTTGAGAGAAGCAGATGGAGTAAAAATGTAAGAAAAAAAGAGATGTTGAGAGGGAAAGACAGAGGCGATGAGAAAGCCAAAGAGGCACCGAATGTGGGGGGAGATGAGGGAAGGAGTCAAAACAAAGCAATGCAGGTGCTTGGGGAGCCCAGGACAGGTACGACAAAGGATGGACAGCTGTGGCAGTGCTCTCAGGAGCACTGGCATGTGCCCACAATGGCCTAGTATGTCAGCTCCAGTCACATGTCTTTGCGCTAGGTCCATCCAGCCTCAAGGGTGCCCCAGCTACCTGGGGATGGAGGCGTAGTTGGTGTGGGAGCTGGTGGCGAGTTGTTGGTGAGGTTCTGACTGGGAACCCAGAATGTCCACCCGATCGTCCTCATCATCATGGAAGCTGGCAGGGAGACGACTGGGCAGCAGGATGATCTCTGTGATGCCATGAAGGTCAGACACATGCCGGACAGTCTGCAGCACTAAAACCATGGCGATCAGACCCAGGAAGAGGTAGGCTGCAAAAACGGCAGAGGGGCCATGGGTGAACTCGGAACCTAGGCAGGCCCCAGGAGCTACTGGACCCCGAGGGTGGGGCTGTGACCCTCAACTCCCCCCTCGGACAGTCCAAGCTCCCCTCATACCCTCTGCAACAAGGCTGTGCCCTGGGTCCTGAGCCAGCCACCCCACTCACCTGTGACCAGCATCTTGTAGAGGGCCCGGTAGGGCTGGCCGGGGGCCTCACCGGGCACATAGTCACCCAGGCCAATGGTGGACAAAGAGATGAAGCAGAAGTAGAAGGCATCCAGGAAGCTCCAGGTCTCCTCTAGGTGGGTAAAGATTGCGGCGGGCACCAGGAAGCAGGTGGTCACCAGGATTCCTAGCAGAACCACCAGGTGCCAGCGGGCCACCCGCCGGGAGTCCCAGCCCCAGCGCATGCTCAGCCAGGACAAGGGTGCATGGGTCAGCAGCAGTGACAGGCGCTGGGCTGAGGCAGTCAGTAGCAACATGGTGGCCGGCACGCCCAGGAGCGCAAAGACAATGGAGAAGGCCTTGCCCGCATCAGTCAGTGGTGTCGTGTACCCATAGCCTGTGGAAGTAACGGGGAAATCCTTCTGCCCACTTGGCATCTACTTGGGATCTGTGGCCATCCTAAGCCAAGACTTCATATTACCCTTGAACTTGCCCCCCACTCTTTAATTTCTGGTCATCCTTGACTTCCTTATCACTCACACCCACTTTTTGTCAGTGAATCCCATTGCCTCAAATTTCAAATAGATCCCAAGTCCATCCACTTCACCCCACTCCATCTCCATGTCTACCTCGTAGTCTCCTCCCAGGCCTCCCTCCTCCACTTCCACCTTTGCCCCACAGTCTGAACCCCCCATGCAGCCAGAGGGACACTGTGAATACCAGTGTTAAGACATGTCCCTCCCCTGCTCAGAGCCTCCCAGTGGTTCCATCCCACTCAGGAGGAAGGGCAGCGTCCTCATCATGACCCTGAGGCCCCACACAAACCAGCGGGGAAATGCACTCCCACCTCAGGACCTTTGCACTGTCTGCTCTTTCCCTGTGGAACACCCTTCCTTCCGGTTTCCACAGGGCTCCCTTCCTCTCCAGGTCTTTGTTCAAACATCACCCTCTCAGCGAGGCCTTCCCTGACCACCTTTATTGTGTTGTTGTAATCCTCACTGGAGGATATTTTCCCATTGATTTATTTAGAGAGAGTGGAAGGGATGGGGGGGATACAGAGAGAGAGCCATCTATGTGAAAGAGACTCATCCATTAGTTGCCTCCTGAATGTGCTCCTATGAGGGCTGGTGGAGTCTGCAACAAAGGTATGTGCCTTCAATCTGTGGGCCGATGCTCTATCCACTGAGTCAAACCAACTAGGTCTGACCACCTTATTTTAAATTGTTACACTTTCTCACCCAACTTTTTTGGTTTGTTTTCATAGCACTTTACACTGTCTAGCAAACTATAATACATGATTTACTTATTTGGCTACTCTGTCTCCCCCTTTCGGGTGCCATCTCAGGAGGGCAGGGGCTTCTGTTTGCTTTGTTCAGTGCCATAGTCCTGGTTCTGGCACAGAGTGGGCACTCAGTCAATAGTTGAAATAATAATTAAAGGGTGCAGGCTCCAGTCTGGCTCCCTCTACTCTAAAATGGGTGTGACAGGCCCAGTGACCTCCTGGAGGGCCGTGAGAAACAAGACCACAGGACCGTGGGTGTGAGTTCTGCAAACAGAAACACGATACAGGGGAATTCAGGTGTAGGTGAGACTGGCTCACTGTGGCAATGTATAATTTAAAATATCATTATTTCCCAAATAAAGCAAACCAAAAGGTCAGAGATATGATGGGGGTGGTAAGAGGCCTGGTTAATGTTGAAGTAAAATGATTTTAGCCCAAAAGACTGCAGATCCAGTCCTGTGATAAAAAAATATCACGTGGACTTGTGTAGATGAACACATCTCCCATACAAAGGGATCTGATTTTTATATGCTCAAAAAACTGAGAGCAAGGGATGGAAGAGATTCCTGTACACCCATGCTCATAGCAGCATTCTTTTTTTTTTTTTTTTTAATATATTTTATTGATTTTACACAGAGGAATTGAGAGGGACAGAGAGTTAGAAACATCGATGAGAGAGAATCATCGATCAGCTGCCTCTTGCACACCCCCTACTGGGGATGTGCCCGCAATCAAGGTACATGCCCTTGACCGGAATCAAACCCGGGACCTTTCAGGCCGCAGACCGATGTTCTATCCACTGAGCCAAACCGGTCCCAGCTCATAGCAGCATTCTTCACAGCCGAATGTCCATAGATAGATGAATGGGTAAACAAAATGTACATATATACAATAGGGTTAGGATTAATAACCCTAACCCTAACCCTAATACTATTCAGCTTTATGAAGGAAGGAAACTCTGACACATGCTACAATACAACATTGATGAACTTGAGGATATTATGCTAAATGAGAAAAGCTAGTCGAAGAGACAAATACTGTATGATTCCACTTATATGAAGTATTTAGAGTAATCAAAATCATAACCGTGGTTGCAGGAGCTGGGGAGAGGGCACATGGGAAGTTGGTGTTTAAGGGTAGAGTTTCAGTTTTGCAAGATGAAAACTGCCTGGAGATGAATGGTGGTAACGATTGCACAACAAAGTAAATGTACCTAATATCCTTGAAGTGTACACTTAAAATGGTAAAGATGGTAACTTTTATGTGTATTTTACCATAATAAAAAATTGGGAAAAAATAAAAAAGACTCTCTGGCTTCCACTGCACACGTGGCCACATGTAATAAAGACATTCCCTCTTTAATGGGGTTTCTCCATTAAAGCCTTTGTATTAATGAGGATTGGAGCCATAAATGAAAAAACCTCAAATAATAGTTGCATAAATAAGATGCAGCTAGGTGTAACTGGAATAATTTCTGACCAATAAATCATATAAGAAAGAAGCAAACAAGTTCCAAGACATGTCCTTAAGGAGAGGGAGGTGCCACCTTAGCAAGTTGCTCAGTGGTTAGAGTGCCGGCAGTGGACTGAGGATTTCGGGCTTGATTCTGGTTAAGGGCGAATGTGTGGGCAATAATTGGTCAATGTTTCTTTCTCTCTGGCTCCTTCCCTCCCTCCTCCAGGGTGAGGATTAACAACAAAAAAAGAAACACACACACACACACACACACACACACACACGCACACACACACAGGAGAGGGAGATGCCTTCTTTCTCCTTCCTTCCTGCTGGCTGGAATACTGACAGAAAGGCAGGAGCTGAGCAGCCACTTGGACCATGATGTGACCTTAGGATGGAGAATTATGGAGGAGTTCTGACCATGCAGCATCATTCCAGAAATAAATTTTCATTTTATTTACACAACTATTATTTGAGGTTTCTCATTTATGGCCCCAAACCTCATTAATACAAAGGTTTTAATGGAGAAACCCCAGCAGTCAGCTGAAATGACAGATTTGCAAATAGCCTAAATGAGTCTTAACTTGCTACCTCAAAGAGCAAAGTTCAAATCAGTTTTTTGCCATTTATTCCCTACATGACCTTGGCCAAGTGACTTTCCTCAGAGTCCTGCAAAAATGGGCTTATAAAAAATGTCTTGAAAAAAAAGACATAAACAGGAGATTCAAGATGGCTGCGCCCAGGTAAACACCTAGCCACAGCCGCACACAACAATTTCAATAAAATAGAACTAAAATATAAAACGGACATTACCCAGAACTACAGGAAAGTTGACTGACTGGAAATTCTACAGCGAGAAGCAAGGAGAAAACCAGAAGGAAGCGTGGAGGAGCTGGAAAAGCCCAAGGTACGGAGACGCGGCTCACGGAGAGGACGGAGCCGGAGAGGAGGGAGACCGAGTGCCTGGCGGGCGTTCCCTAGCGGGAAGGAGATAAAACTCCGACTGTGCTGGGCACCCAACTACTCTGAACCCCAGTTCTAGGCCTGACCCCGGGGACCCAGGCTCACACAGAGGGAGCTGGGCTGCAAGGCGGAACCCAGGGAAGCAGCGAAAGGAGGTCCCGGCGGCACGCACAGTGCGCGCAGAGAAGGGACGGTTGGCTGTGCCGCGGAATTGCCCTGACGGGAAGGAGACTGGGCCTCCAGACTGCTCTGAACGCCACCTCCAACTCCACTTCCAACTGAACTGAACCCCAATACCGGGCTCATTGGGGGAGAGCATAGACTGTTTGGCAGCAGGCGAAAATCGAGAGCACCTTTCTCTCAGAGGCCCCGGCAGTGAGCACTGAAGGACCCGCATAGGGCGGGGCTGACGGAAGCCAAGGCTGCAGGCTCCATCCTGAAACCCCGCCCCATCTGTAGCTGTGAAATGCGACAACGAAATAGATCACAAACGAAAGAAATGGAGGACAAAAAGCGTCTGGATATAGAGTTCAAATCTATGCTTATAAGGTTTTTCAAGAATTTCCTAGAAAAGATGGATAAGACCTATGAGGATATGAAAAGAGATCAACTAGAATTAATAAGGAGTCATCAAGAAATGATAAGGGATCAACAAGAAATAAAGAATACATTACCTGAAATAAAATATATTTTTACAGAGTCCTAAAAACAGAAGGGAAGATAGCAAGAATCAAGTCAAAGATTTGGAACATAAAGAGCCAGAAGACACTCCTCCACAGAAGCTAGAAGGCAAGAGAATCCAGAAAGTTGAAGATAATGTAAGAAACTTCTGGGACAATTTCAAGCGAACCAACTTCAGAATTATGGGGGTCCCAGAAGATGAGAGAGAGCAAGATATCGAAAACATACTGAAAGAAATAGTGACAGAAAACTTCCCCCACCTGGTGAAAGAATTAGACTTACAAGTTCAGGAAGCGCACAGAACTCCAAACAAAAGGAATCCAAAGAGGACCACATCAAGACACATCATAATTAAAATTCCAAAAGCAAAAGACAAAGAGAGAATATTAAAAGAAGCAAGAGCAAAGAAGGTAGTTACCTATAAAGGAGCACCTATATGATTGTCAGCTGACTTCTCAACAGAAACCATGCAGGCCAGAAGGGAATGGCAAGAAATATTTAAGGTAATGAATAGTAAGAACCTACAGCCAAAGATAATCTATCCAGCAAAGCTATCACTCAGATTCGAAGGTCAGATAAAGAGCTTCATTAATAAAAAAAAAAAGCTAAAGGAGTTCATCACCACCAAACCAGAATTATATGAATTGCTGAAGGGGGTTCTTTCAGAAGAGAAAGTAAACAAAGATAAAAATTATGAACAACAAATATGTAACTATCAACAAGTGAATCTAAAAACCAAGGAAATTAAAAAAAAATCTGATGAACAATAGTAACTGTTGAATATAATAGAATCAGAGGTATGGAAGGGGAGTGAACTGACGATTCTTGGGGAGAAGGGGAGAGGGGGGCGTGGGAAGAGACTGAACATAAACTGTGCACCTATGAATGAGGACAATGGGGAGTGGGGAAAGGGCAGAGGGTGGGGTGGGAACCTGGTGGAGGAGAGCAGTGGTGGGGAGGGGGGGGGAAGGAACATTTGTAATAATATGAACAATAAAACATTAAAAAAAAAATGTCTCCCACCTTGCCAGGGTGGATTGCATAGCATCTAGCAAGACATAAAAAGAATTACGGGCATGCTCGCTTCCGGGCTACTGACCCCTCCATCCTGGCCTCAACTGGAGCAAGGCTGCCTGGATCAATTCCAGGCCCCAGGCCTTTCTCTGAGAGCTTGGGCCTGACAAGATCAGAGGTGCTGTGGAAGAAGTCTCTCTGAAAGACGTTTGGCTTTTCATTTCTCAGACACATTCAGAGCTCCAGGCTTTCCCACCAATAACAATGAAAACTGAGGCACCGAAAACCTGTTATCTCCAAACTGACAAAGACTTCCTCCTGACCAAACTTACTTAGGCTCCTCTCCACAGGCCATTTTAGCAAGAACCCTGTCAGTTTAGGGAGAATTCCTCCTTTTGATATCTGATCACATTCCTTTGAGAGCTGAGGTCTTGGCCTTTTGCAGCAATCCCATTAAGCCAGTAAACGAGAACCCCCTGTCTCTTAATATACTTTCCTGTCCACTGATGCCCTCACTCTGCAGCTGTCTTTGTTATATTCAGAATTGAGTTCAGTCTCTCTCCCTTATTGCAACAACTTACCATTTTTAACAAGTGTCTGAGTAATTTTTCATTTCAGTATACACACATCACTCCTCTCCATGCAGGCTTAAGAGGTAGTGCAGTGAGGTAGGTTAAGAGCATGGGGCTCTGAGGCCTGATTGCCTTGGTTCAAATTTCTATTCTACACCTTCCTAGTTGTGTGACCTCAGACAAGTTGTCCAACTTCTCTGGGCCTCAGTTTCTGTTGCTAAAAAAATAGGGCCAGGCCCTAACTGGTTTGGCTCAGTGGATAGAGCATCAAACTGCAGACTCAAGGGTTCCAGGTTTGATTCTGGTCAAGGGCATGTACCTTGGTTCCATTGGGAGGTGTGCAGGAGGCAGCTGATCGATGTTTCTCTCTCATCGATGTTTCCAAGTCTCTATCCCTCTCCTTTTCACTCCATAAAAAAAATCAATTAAAAAAAAAAAAAAAAAATATATATATATATATATATATATATATATATATATATATATATATATATTTAAAAATAGGGCCCATGTTGCTTAGTGGTTAAGGGGCTACTCATAAACCAGGAGGTCAGGGTTTAATTCCAGTTGGGGCAGGTGTGTGGGTTGCAGGCTCGGCCCCCCACCAAGGGACTGTGTGGGAGATGGCCAGTTGGTGATTCTCTCTCATCATTGATGTCTTTCTCCCACTCTCTTCCTCTCTCTGAAATCAATAAAAATACAGTGTATTTATTTTTAAAAATAGGACCACTAATGGTACCTGCTTTACAAGGCTGTTGTGCTGATTGAGTTAAAACCCATACGTGGCAACTCCTCTATTAGGTTTTGTTATTACTGTGAAGTGGGGAGTGTTATTATTCCCATTTTACAGATGTGGGAGGACACTGAGACCTAGAGTTGAGCAGTGGGCTGAGCAGAAATCCAAACCCAGGCTGTGCATGCCTTGAATTTGGCTTCTTCATCTGTCCTTCTTGGGACAACTTCTCAGAAACCAGGATCTGGGAGGAGGTTGATGGAGACACTCATGTGACCCAGTGAAGCCCAGGAGCAGGTCAGGCAGGCCCAGCCAGTGGAACAGAGTGTAAGAGGAGCATCCAACCCTGCTGACCATGGACTTGGTTTGCTGGTCCACACAATGGGGCACCAAAGGCAAAGGCCACCTGCTACTGCAGGCAGGGAGGAGTTACGAGTCTGCTAGGTCTTCCCCAGCACCCCCCCCCCCCCGGGGGCAAAATTCCAAGAAAAGAGGAAGAGGGAGCTTTGGGGAGGGGATGTGAAAGGACCAGCAGAGCCTTGACAACAGGGATTTCCCAGGTCTGCAAGTGCTGAGGTGGGAAGGATGTCCAGGGTTGGGCTACGGGGAGAGGGTTAGTCCGACCTGAGGTTGGTTTCTGGTTTGAAATGGATCCTGGGCCAGAGGAAAGGTGACAGGCCCCAGTGGGGGCATTTTCTGGATTACAAATGGGACTGGAAGGGGATTATGAGCCCAAGGACGCCTGAGAGGACTTGATGAAGGCAAACAATGCTAAGGAGATGATAGATCAGGGTGGGTCTCTCGGGTCCAAGGGTAGAAAGTGGTAATCGTTTTGACTAGACATGGGGAGGGGTCTGGACTCTAGAGGGCCTGGTGCATCCTTGTTGGAGCAGAGAATTTCAGGCCCAAAGCAGGCTGTGGCAGTGTCAGAGTAAACAGGGAGTGCCCAGCTATGGGTCTAGAGATTGGAGTGTTCCCAAGAGCTTAAGATATTCCATTTCTTGGGAAATCCAGGTTGAACAGGGGTAGCAGGTGTAGAAAGCAGAATTTCTGGGCTAGTATCGTGTGTGTGTGTGTGTGTGTGTGTGTGTTGGGGATTCTGCTCTCAATGACAGGGTTTGTGGAGGGCACTGGGGTTCCTCATAAAAGGTCTAAGTGGTTCTGGGGCTTTTGCTGAGTGTCAAGGGTCTAGAGAATGATGAGTCTCAACTCGGGGTTCAAAGAGGTCCCTGGATTGGAAAGCAGTAGGGGTTTTGCTGGAGACAGTTTTGAGATTGGAGGGGAGGAAATCCTGGCCGGGGGGCTTCTGGGGATAATCTAGCTCCCTCCACGGTAGTTCCTTCTCATGGATCCATAGCTAGGGGCTGCTAAAATGGAACTCGAGGTCCAGAGAAAGCCAATGTCTCTCTTGGGAGAAAACTGCATTGAGGGCTCCCCAATAGAAGGGAAATGTCAAGATGGAGTGGAATGTGGAGAAGGAGTCAGAGCTTACCTGCTGGGAAGTGTGAGTGTGAAGGAGGACAGGGCCCTCTCAGAGGGAGGGCAGGGCCTGGCTGAGGGCGCTCTACTGGTAGTAAGGTCTTTCCTAATGGCACTCTGAGGGATCTGGAGATTCAGGATTCTCTCTGGGCACCAAAGTCAGGAGAAGATGGGACAGGGCTTCCCAAAAGGCTCCAGGAAAGATCTGTCTGGTCAGCCAGGAGACACTGCTTGAGGGGAGGGCATTCTGACACCAGAGAGAAGGGCAAAAGTCTTTGGAGTCCAGAGAGGGTGAGGGTCTCAGGCCCAGGGTCCCAGGATCTCGCTGGAGGTTTCTGAGTGTAGTCCTAGGCCCAGAGGGGCCCGGGGAAGGGCCAGGTCTCCAAGGGGTAAGGCAGAGGAACAATGTTCCAGACGGTCCCTGGCAGGAACTGAGTCCAGCCCTCATCCTGGAGAACTGGGTGTTTTCCTGCTGGGAGAGGCTTGGATGGGGTCTTCCCGAGGGAGGCAGATCCAACGACTGTGGACCCCGGGTTCTCTCCGAGGGGTTTTGAGGGGATCCTAGGCCCAGAATGGACTGGAGTGATCCACTGGGACAAGGTTATCTCCTGAGCTCCCGAGTGCCCCTGGGTGGATTCCCGCTGGTTTGGGGATTGGGGCGGCGCTCACCTACCCACGGTGGTGACCAGTGTGCTGGCAAAGAAGAGAGCAGAGGCAAAGTCCCAGGCGGGGTCCGAGGCATTGGCGGGCCCCGAAGCGTTGGCGAGCGCTGCGCGCCCCAGCCGGCCGGCCGCCAGCACTCGCTCCACGAAGGCGTCCAGCGCGGGGGCGGCCAGGCACGGGCTGCGCCGCAGCAGCTGCTCCCGCAGCACCTCCAGCTCCGCGCGGAGCGCAGCCTCGTGCGGCCCCTCCAGCCGCGCCACCAGCAGCGCGCCCAGCCCCAGGTACGCGGCGTAGGCGGCCAGGGCGCCCGCCAGGAGCGCGCCCCGCCGCATGGCACCTCCCGCTCCCCCGAGCCCCGCGCCCGCCGCCCGGCTCCCCCCGAGCCCCGCCGCCCCGCTGACGTGGCCCCGGCCTCCTGATGGCCGGGCTCCAGCTTTAGTTCCGGGAGCTCGAAGCACGGCCTCCTGCTCACCAAAGAGAAACCGGAGGAGAAGGGTGGGGCAGGAGAGGGAGGAGAAGCGCCCCGCCTCCGGGAAACTGAGGCACGCCCCACCGCCAGGTGTTAACACCGGGAGGGCGGAGCTCAGCACTCCGGGATCCAGGAGCCTAACAGGACGGAGAGAGGGGGCCTTCTACCCTTCCTTCGTTCCTTCCCTCTCTGCGTCCCAGGCGTCTTGATTCCTTCGGTCAGAAAGACTCCGAACTCTCTTTTCTGCTCAAGGATCGAGAAGTCGCGCCCCATCTCCTTCGGTCATCAGGGTGTATGGCTGAGGGCACAACAAGGGTACAAACTGGCATCCAGCCCTTGTTCCATTAGCCATGTCGTGCGCTCTGGAGTGGGGTTCGTCCTCTGGTGGGGAGGACTGTCTAAGTCACAAGGAAGGACACCTCAGGGGCAGGCGTCCCCGTGCCATCACAGACAGAACCAGGATGCTTAGCTCTTCACCAAACCTTTGCCCAGTGTCCACTCTGTGCCCGGCCCTTTGCTGAGTGATCCTGGGAAACAGCAGTAGCCAAGACAGTTCTGGAACCTGCCTTCAGGGGGCTCCCAGCACTTCCACAGAGTGCCAGCCCAGAAAGAAGCTCCGGCAGAGTGGCCAAGGCTGGGATGGAGGATGCCCAGGGGACTGTGTGGCCCAGAGGAGGCGACTACCGCAGCTTTTGAAAAATCAAGAGCTTCTGGAGGAAGGACATATCTGAAGTGAGAGAAAGGATGAACAGGAAAGAGCCAGGATCTCTTTTCCAAGCAGAATTACAGATCCACACCTTCACTGGAGGGAGAGCTTTCCTTCCCCGCTCCCTCTGTACATTTCTCCACACCCCCCTCTCTGACGGCCTTCGAGAGGGCAGCCCCGGATCCTGACCACAGCTGACTGGCGAGGATGGGGCTCAGGAACCAGTTCAGACACACCCAGATGGTTCTATTAATAAAACTGTGGCAGCTCTTGGGAAAGAACCCAATTAGGCCTTAGAACAACAGCAACAGTAGGGGCCAGTGATCAAAGGCTTCAGTGATGTCAGGCCCCGTGGACACATAAGCTTGTATCTCAACCCTTTCTCTATTATTCATTAAACAGATGAGAAATTTTAGGCTTAACAATTGAGTAGTCACAAAACTGGTAAGGTGTGACCATGTGAACATAAGGTAACACAAAGCTAAAATACTTGCTTACTAATAAAAGTATTCAGAGGATGAGAAAATAGTGATGTTGCCCAAAGAACAGATGCTAAACCAGACGTTCAGAGAGGAAAGGGGACACCTCATAAAGAAAGCCCGCTACTAAGCCAGCACTCATAACCGAGAGACTAGAAGTCCTTAAGGTCTCAGAAAAGGCAATGTCTCGGGAGGAAAGGGAAAGCCACATTGACAGTCACTTGCTAACATTCTTCCGGAGTACTATCATTGCCCGGAAGTCACTTCTACCATTATCTTTGCCTGAGATAAGTGGAGGAAAGTGTGGGACAGGAAGTAGGGGGGGGCGGGGAGAAAGGGGGAGACCGAATGAGATACATGGGGATACTGAAAGACAGAGAGGAGAGACTAAGGAAGCTTAATTCTCAGGGCTTCTCACTTGCAAGTGTGCCTGTGTGTGCTGTGAGTTGCTGGGGGGGGGGGTATAAAATGTTTTTGGAGGACTGGGAAAACCAGGTCGCAACGCAAAGCATTTTTTATCATTTTCTGGGAAAATATGTAAAGATACATTCCATGACAGACATCTTTTCTCACTCTAAACATTCAGTTTAATACCTTAGATCTGCCCAAATTGTAAAGGGCAGAGCCCGCACCACTCGGCTTAGCTCCTGGGGAATACAAATGGATTTCTTCTTCCCTGCGCCGCACCCTCCCCTGGTTCCCGCGTGCTCTCAGCGACCCAAATTGAGCGTCTGTCCGTGGAGAACTCCATTTCCCATCCGCCTCTTCGCTCGACACCTACATTTCCCATCATGCACGACGCCGTCTACTCCTCAGACCGGTCCCTGCCCCGCTTTCCTGCCGCTCCGTTCTGGACTCTCGGCTTACGTCACGGCCTCCAGCCCTCCCCTCTTTTCCACAGCGAACGCGTCCGGGCTTCCACGAGAGGCGTGGCCTCTGAACGACCGTAATGCCCATTGGCTGTCGCGTCGCCGGTGGGACGTGGCTACGGGAGCCGGGCGGGCGCCTTTCGAACCGCGGCTAGGGCGGCGACGGAAGCAACGAAGGATGCATCCAGCTGGCTCGGCGGCGGCGGGGACTCCCCGGCAGCGTAAGTGGCGTACGTGGCCCGCCGAGGTGATGAGGCGGGCGGGGTGTAGCGGGGCCGCCGCGGCGGTTGGCGAGGTCGCTGCAGGTCAGAGGTCAGGAAGTCAGGGATCTGGAACTTCGAGGTGTGCACCGCACCACGATGCCAGCTCCGGGTAGGGGTGCTTTGGGGTCGGATTTTTTTCCCCCCTTAGGATATTACTTTGAAAGAAAACAACTTTGGGTAGGATGTTGTATGTTGAACAGAAAAGCCCGACTTTCATTGATTTTGCAGTAAGCAGTCACCCTTACCCCTTCGTAGCCACGGGTTGTCGCCCATGCCCTCGGTGAGCGAAGAGGGCCATGGTTATCCCTTACTTAGATTTGAACCTGTGTTTATTTGGCTATTAACCTCTTTTTTCCCCCACCTTTGTGAATTTGTATGTCTAATCTCCGTGAATGTGCGTGCATCTCACCTAGTCATTCAACACATCCTGCAGCAGCTCCCCTGTGCCCAGCCCTTTGCTGGAATGTGGGTACCTGGTAGTGACCAGCATAGCACCGCCCATTGTTAACTCTTGTTTGTTTCTGAGTTTGATGGGAAGACAGTCGCTAAACTCAGAAACAATCAAGGCAGCCAGATAATTTGGGGACTAATTAGAGCCATAAAGGGAATAATCAAGTTGTGACTAGGCGTTGAGGGGGCCTCTCTGTTGAGGGAGACAGTGTGATGCGCTCATTCCTCCCTTCAACCATCAATAAGGTGCCTGGCTGATCCTGTGATAGGTGATACTGGAAATACAGCGGTGCCCAACTGGTTCCTGTCCTCATGGAGCTTCCAGTACAGAGCAGAAGACAGCAGCAGGCTTGATGGACATTTTGATGAAAGAAGCAGCACAAGCAAATGGGTTAGAGCCAGGGAGAGGGAAGCACAATCAGAGTGATTATGGCTGGGATGGAGGTTTTATGGTTGCCCAGATTAGGCATGTGACCCAGTCTGGGAGTGTCAGAAGCTTCCTGGAAGAGGTACATCTCATTAGCCCAAAGAAGGGGATTTGTAGTGAGGGAAAAGCATTTGAGGCCTGTGCTGAGTAAACAAGGAGACAAATGAATTGAAAGGGAAAGGAGAATCACTGGATATGATGAGAAAGAACAAGGTGGGGCTACTGTTTACATTGAGGAATGAGAAAGGTCTTTGAGAAGGAAACATTTGAGCTGAGGCCTGAGTGCAACATTGGCAGTTGTCAATGGTGGGAAGGTGTTCCAAGGTGATGGATGTTCAAAAGCCTGTGGCCCCTGGCCGGTGTGGCTTGGTTGAGCATTGTTCTAGGCACCCAGAGGTCACTGGTTCAATTCCTAGTCAGGGTGTGTACTCGGATCCCCAGTATGGAGCTTGCAGGAGACAGCCGATGGATGTTTCTCTTACCAATGTTCCTTTCTTTCCCTCACCTTAATCAAGAAAAAATATATATTTTAAAAAGCTTGTGGGGGCTAGGAGCTTGGCAAGGTCATGGTCTGAGAGGAAGCCATTGTGGCTGAGATGCAGTGAGCCCCGAGGTAGTAAAAGAGGGTCGTTAGCAGCGCTGGGTTCTACGGGGCCTCATAGGCATTAGGATTTTATTCTAAACACAGTGGGCCTTGATTTTAGGCAGAAGACATCTTTTTCACTTAAAAAGATGTCTCTGGCTGCCCACCAGAGAGAAGGCTGGTGCAGCTAAGAATGGACAGGAGGACCTGGGGGGAGGACATTTAAGTCAGGTGCAAGATGACATAGTCTGAGAGGGGAGGGTAACATTGAGACATAGTGGGCAAGAATTAGCAATTCATTGGTTGGATGCCAGACGAAGGGGAATCAGGGTTTGGAGACTGAGGTTAGGGCTCAGAGGCAATCAGAGGCCATTGCCAAGAAGCCAGTGACCTTCCTGGGTCTGGCTACAGGAGAGAAGTGGTGGCCAGAGACAGAGCTCAGAGCCTAAAACTGTGAAAGTTGTGAGTGTGGGTGAAATTGCCCTAGATGAGGGTGGAGAATTGGGTCACACATTCCAGGGAGCTGGAAATAAGTCACTGATTGAGAGAGACATTGGGAGACCATCAGCTCCATGAAGGCAGAAGTTTTTGTCCTTTTGATCATTACTACCTGCATCAGAGCTTAACACAGGGGGTGCTAAGTAGGTATTTGTGGGCCTCAGACAGAAAAGAGAAAAAGACAGGCACAGTGTCTCAGAAGCCTAGAGTTGGAGGTTGGCAGTTGGGGCAATGCACCTAGTGCTGTGAGGACTTGAGTTGGATGAGAGCAGAATGATGGACTGCAGAGAGCCTTTAGAGGCCAGTGGGAGCAGGACCCCAGATGCCACTGGCTGAGGGGGTGACAAGGAGGGAGGACAGGTTCACACCAAAGCTTTCAGGAAGTGACCTTCAGGCCATAACTGAGAGAGGAAAAAGAGAAGTGGAGCTTGAGGACAAGGGGGCCAGAACCACTGCCGTGATCTTTGGGACTGAGGACACCTGGGTCAGTTTTCCAGCTACAAATAATTGCAATGAAGAGTGGAGGGGCTTGTAATTGACAGTAGGTGCCAGGCCAAGGGCTGAGGAGTCTATGAGTGTCACTTCGCTGTGGACTATTAACCCATTCTACAGAGGAGAGGCACAGAGAAAGTCATGATGCAGATGACTTGCCTTCTACCCCATCTATTGTAATCCTACCACCCTGTTTCCTGTGCCCACAAAGGTGTTCAAATATTGGCTGCCACAGCATTGCTTACTGCTTAGGAGTAGGGGCCTTGGAGCCAGAATGCTGGGTTCAAATTGGTCATCTCGATATTCCTATCTCCTTTTTCTTACCCCACTCCAATTAAGCACACCTCCAGCAATTCCTGGCCCTCCCACCTGCCTCCAAAATCTATACAGAAGCAGCCCATTCCCCTCCCCTCATCTCCACTCTCCATCCTAGTCTCCCATCTTGACCGTCAATAAATTCCTCCTTCCTTTCCTCTATCTATCGCCAACATGAAGCCAAGTTTAAAAATTTGAACCCTGGCTCTGCCTCATATTATCTGTATGATTTTGGGAGGGGGTCTGAGCCTCTTTGGGGCTTGCTTTTCCCATCTATAAAATGGGGGTGCTAATAGCATCAATACAAATAGATTGTTGTGAGGATTAAATGAGTTAGTCTAATTTAAAACATGGCCTGATATGTGGTTAGTTCTCAGTTGGGGTTGAATTATTGTAATATTTATTGGGCAACCTGGATTGGACTTCTGCTCTTCCCTCACTCTATTTGGCCCTTTACACAAGTAATTTAGCTTGTCTAGGCCTCGGATTCTATATCTGTAAAATCGGGATAGCTACTGATTTATTTAGTAGGTTTTTGTCAAGTGCTGTGTACAGGAATCAGCCATGAACAAGACAAAGATTCCCACTTTGAGGGACTCACGCTTTTGTGGACAGACAGGGCAAAAAGGAAGTAAAACATTTAGTATCCCAGCTGGTGCCGAGTTCTGTGGATATACATGAAGCAGGGAAGGGGATGCCATCTATGGAGGCGCAGTTGTGTACAGGATTGGGGGAAGGTCCCATTGAGCCAAGACTTCAAGGAGAGCAGTGAGCCATGAGGACATCTGGGGAAAGAGCATTCAGGCAGAGGAACAGCCAGTGCAGCAGCCCTGAGCTGTGAGTACACCTGGTCTGCTCCCTGAAAGCCATGTGGCTGGAGCTGAATGAGTGAGGGGGAAACATGAAGAGGGATACAGACAGGGAACTTGTTTGTAAAAAGCTTAGTACAGCATTCTGTGCGTAGTAGCTAGCAACATCATTATCCTTGTTAGTTGGATGGATGGATGGCAGGCAGAGCCTGCCCGTACTTGACTGGCCGACCCATCTACCATGAAAACCAGTGCTCCACTGGAGCAGGGTGGGAGGGGGTGTGCCCACAGAATGAATGAGGTATCCGCCTTTCTCCTGCTGCAGCCTCAAAGCGGAGGATCCCTGTGTCCCATCTGGGCATGGCTGACCCCCACCAGCTTTTTGATGACACAAGTTCGGCTCAGAGCCAGGGCTATGGAGCCCAGCGGGGACCCAGCGGCCTGGGCTACCCTACAGCTTCTGCCTCGCCCCAGGCAGCCTTCCTAGCTGATCCTGTGTCCAACATGGCCATGGCCTATGGGAGCAGCCTAGCCGCACAGGGCAAGGAGCTGGTGGATAAGAATGTGAGTGGGCTGGGCTGGTGGGGGTGGGGGGAAGACTGGGCCATGAGGCCAGGGCTTCAGGAAGAGCTCTGCCTCTCCAGATCGACCGCTTCATCCCTGTCACCAAGCTCAAGTATTACTTCGCCGTGGACACCCTGTACGTGGGCAAAAAGCTGGGCCTGCTCTTCTTCCCCTACTTGCACCAGGTCAGAGCACCCCTACCGAAGTGACCATCCACGCTCAGAGGGAAACAGCCTCTGGGAAGGGGGCGGTGGATGGGGTTGAGTCAGAGTCTGGGGCCTGCATGAGGGGCAGGGTGGGTGATTCGCCTTATGAGGGGGCCTGTAAACAAGGTAGAGGAGCCCAGCTTTGGGGTTCTGTCTGCTCCCCCACTATCCCCACAGGACTGGGAGGTGCAGTACCAGCAGGACACCCCAGTGGCCCCCCGCTTTGATGTCAACGCTCCGGACCTCTACATTCCAGGTTTTACCCTATCCATCACTGCCCTGCACCTTCCTCCCTCTGGGTGGGCATGTCTATGGCAGAGGTTTAGGTACCTGGAGGCCCAGATGGTCCTTCCTCTGACATGTGTCTGTGTGTCTGCTTCCCATAGCTATGGCTTTTATCACCTACGTCTTGGTGGCTGGCCTGGCACTGGGAACCCAGGATAGGTAAGAGAAAACTCAAGTGGGTAGGGTGGCATGGGCTTTGGAGGGCTGAGGGCAGTTGGGATAGTCTCTTGGTTCCCTCTCTCAGAATAGCCCCACTGTGCCCTGTAGGTATTACCCTCAGGGTCACCCTCCCTGTGCAGGGTGATTCTCTAAATCCATCCTTCTTCGCCTCCACCACTCCTCCTCTCCCACTCCTAACCAGCTGCCCTGACCCCACACTCCCCTGTACCCTGATTCTAGCAGCAGCCAGGAAAGTCTTGTCTGAGAGGCAGGCCTGACCACATCCCAGCCTGCTCAGAAGCTGTCCATACTCCCCAAGCCCCAGACCAAGCCCCAGTTTCTTAGCCCTGCCCTGCCCTTCACGAGGCCCTTTTCTGCCCCACCCCGCTCTGCTGTGCCACTCTGGTCCTCTTTCCATCCTCCACTAGGCCTAGCACTGCCATCCCAGGGCCTTTGTACATCTAGTTTCCTTGGTTCAGGAGCATGTTCCTCCCCTACATCACCACCTGCTGAGCATCTGCTCACTCAGGGTGTCTCCACTCCAATGTCACTCCTTAAGGAAGTCTTCCCACTATCCCAGTCTTCCCACCTCCTCATAGGCCCCTGTTCATTTCCTTTGTGGCATTGAAAATTATTATCATTTGAATCCTTACTCCTTCAGGCCTTGGGCAGGTGTCCCTCTGGGAAGCCCTATCTGACACCTCCCCGCTGGGTCAGGCACTTCCCTTGCTCTGTGCATCCCAGTTACATCCCTGACATGTCTAGGGTGTCACTGAAGATAGATCTGCCTTTCCTAAAGTGGGACTTTCATGAGGACCGGGCCCAGATCCACCTTAGTCACTGCCTGGTCTCCAGCCCCACCCAACACAGGCTGTCCCCAAGTGAATGTGTAGGGAGGGTTTGAGGAGGCCAATCAAATAACAGCTTGGGTGCCGGCAGGTTCTCCCCAGACCTTCTAGGGTTACAGGCCAGCTCGGCGTTGGCCTGGCTGACACTGGAGGTGCTGGCCATCCTGCTCAGCCTCTACTTGGTCACTGTCAACACCGACCTCACCACTATTGACCTGGTTGCCTTCTTGGGCTATAAATATGTTGGGTAAGTACTACCATCTCCTCTCCACAAACAGCCCCAGCCCGGGGCCTCTTCCTCAGACCAGCCTTCCCCTCTTCCTCCCAGGATGATTGGTGGGATCCTCATGGGCCTGCTCTTTGGAAAGATTGGCTACTACCTGGTGCTGGGCTGGTGCTGCATGTCGATTTTTGTGTTCATGGTAAGTTGGGGCTCAAGGAAGCATGAAGTTAAATACTCAAGTCCCTTGAGCAGATTGGGTTCCCCTGAAGACATCCAAACAGAGGATGTTAGGTGGAGAGTTAAGACCAGAGCTACATTGCTGAACTGAGGAGCCCTGGAGTGGGTGCCACAGCTTGGGGTTCAGGAGGGCCTCCTGGAAGAGGGGGTGTCCAAGCTAGGGCCTAAAGGAAGAGAGGATCCAGCTGGACCGCTAGGGTGGGTGGGTGCTCATCCTCACAGCACTCCCCTTACATGGTGGACTCTCCTGCCAGGATTTTCTTTAAGATTAAAAAGTTTCAGCACCCCTGAAGTAGCTAGTTTGAGGGCTCTTTGTGGGGGCTGTATAAGCTAGGCCTGGGTTTGATCCCAAGCTTAGTTGGATCCTGGGAAGATCACCTTCTCCTTTTCAATCTGTTTCCTCTTTTGTAAAATCGGGATAATTGCACCTCAGGATACTTGGAGGACTTGGTGAGAGAAGCAGAGGGCACAAATGGGTAACTTGTGGGCCATGTCTAATCATCAGATAAACTTTGACTTAGATGTTATTATTTACAAGATTTTTAAAAAAAGGCATTCTGGTTTGTGTTAAAAATTATCATCTGGCCAGCATAAGCAATGACAGCAACCAGAGCCACGCCTGGCCACCCCGTTCAGACAGGGTAATCACAGTGCAGTTCCTCCCTCACTCACTCAGCGGACTGGCCTGGGTTTGAACCCTAACATTTTCTCAAAGCCTTGGGAAGAGCATCTACTAGATTTGGGGGAAGCCAAGGAGCCCCAGAAGTGGAGATGAGCACAGCTGCCCCTGTGGAGGGAGGGAGAGAAGGCAGAGGGGCAGGGACTGGAAGTGTCCAGGTGCTCCCACTGGTGGGAAGGGCTAAAAAGGGTCACCTCTACCGGCCCCAGATCCGGACGTTGCGGCTGAAGATCCTGGCGGAGGCTGCGGCCGAGGGAGTCCCGGTGCGCGGAGCGCGGAACCAGCTGCGCATGTACCTGACTATGGCTGTGGCGGCAGCGCAGCCTCTGCTCATGTACTGGCTCACCTTCCACCTGGTGAGGTGAGGGCAGCGCACCGCCTAATTGCTGCTCCAGGTGCCTCATCTCCCGACCACCTGCCGGCTCATCTCTGGGCCACCTGCCAGCTCCACCTTTGCCTGGCCCCCAGCCTGAGACGCTCTGCCCTGTTCCCACCCCAGTTGGAGATCCCCTGGGGCACTAGCTGCCCCTCAGCAGGCAGCCTCTGTTCTGGAAACAATAAACCTTGGTGAGCCAAGCTTGGGTAGCCTCTCCTTGGTGGCTGTGCAGTTGCCCACAGGGGGCAGGCCAGGCCCGCTGGAGAAGCGGGACGGCCGGCGGTTCACAGTGGTCTGCAACCTGGAGGTTTAATGAGCCTAGCCCAGGCCCGTCAGTGGGGAGGCCTTCTTCCCCTTTTTCAACTTGGGCTTCTTGACCTTGAATGGGGTGCTTTCGAGAATCTGCAGGGTGGGGCTGTGGGAATAGGAGAGGGGAGAGGCGCCCACTGGGAGGGACAAGTCCTTTACCTTCACCTCCATGTCTGAGCTGCAGTGAGAACTTGAGGAGCTGCTAGGGCCATGGTCGTGCTAGCTGAAAGCATAACAGTGAGATCAAGGGCCCCGCAAATTGAAAGCCTGAGCTTGAAACTCGGGTCAAAAGCACCCAGTTCCACCATGCACTCCCTTCCCCTGTTGAGAGGTGATTAACCCTTCGGTTAGCTGCCCCTGCTTCTGACAGGCCCTGAACTTTGGGGGAGCTGTATTTGGGATCACTCACCTGGCCTGCCCTGTAAGCTTCTTCAAGGTGGACTCCAGGGCTTCTGAGAGAAGTTGGCTGGATTGGAATAAGGAATGTCTCCTGCACACTCCCAGGAACATGGGTCAAACTCTGTGGTGAGAGGGGTGTCCAAAGTGTGTGTGTGTGTGCGCGCGCGCATAGGGGGAGGAGCTGTGGGACATGCCCTAGAAAGGAATGCTGAGGAGTCCCTCCAGACTTTGGTTCAGAGTCCTCAGTTCTGCCTCAGCCCCTCCCCAGCACCGCCCAGCTTTTCCTCTGTGTGTAATGTGGAGGTGGACAGTTAACTACAAGAAAAACCCCACTCACCTCCAGCCTTGGCAAGTGAGGTGGGGCTGTGTGGATGGGAGTTGGGGTGGGTAGTTGCAGATTTCCGGGGACTAGAGCTGTCATCAGCTTCCCCCAAAAGGGGAAACATGAGGGAGGGTGGCTCCCCGGGACCAGAATGCCGTGAGAACACTATCACTCCTTGTTTGCTTACTGTGTGCCAGGCGCTGTTCCAAGGGCTTCATGCAGTATTACTCACTTTAGCAACCCCTCTGTGGCTTGATGCCAAGCAGTCTATAATAAAAGGGTGAAGAGTGTGAATTGGGGACCAGCCTGCTGAATTTGAAGCCCAGCTATACCATTTAGTAGTGGGGTATTCTAATGACAGTTGCTTTGCTGCTCTGGGCCTCAAGTTCCTCATCTGTCAGTGACAGTTACCATATGGGGTAAAGGTAAGAATCAGATGGATTAGTTTCCTAGACCTGTGCCTGGCACAGAGGAAGTGTTTTTTCATATATATACAATATATATTAAATTGATTTCAGAGAGGAAGGGAGAGAGATAGGAACATCAATGATTGGCTGCCTCCTGCACATCTCACATGGGATCCAGCCCACAACCTGGGCATGTGCCCCGATTGGGAACCGAACCATGACTGCCAGATTCATAGGTCAATGCTCAACAACTGAGCCACACCAGCCCCGCCAGAGGAAGTGCTTATGAAATCATGTTTTGGCTTTTTAAAAATAAATAGTAGATATTATTACTGTCCCTGTTTTACAGATGAGAAAACTGGGGGATCAAACAGTTAAGTAAGATGACAAGGGGCAAATGCAGCAATGAACAGCCTAGAGCTGGGGCTCACACGGTGTGGATCAAATCTGAGCACCTGAAGGGCGCTTAGCGGAAGGGGCAGCTGGCAGAACCCAGTCTTCTCTCCCCAGACTGGACTGGGCCACCTGTTCCCTTCACTGTCAGGCTAAGTTGTCTACATCTCTCTCCAACCTAGCCCTGCCAACAGCTGGGCAGCCTGAATCTCAAGCAGGTGGCTGGGCCTGGGGCCTGGAGATGACGATGAATGTGCAGCAGTCAGCTTTGTGCACTCAGGTCTCTGCTCCAAAGTCCATTCCTTAAGAGCCTACTGGCTCCACAGAGTCCCGTCATTTTATCTCTCCACTGCTTGATGGCCAGCACAGCCCTTGCTGTTATCTTTTTTATTTTATTTATTTATTTTTTATCTTTATTGTTCATATTATTACAAAGGTTCCTCATTTCTTCCCCCCTCTACCAGGCTCCCACTCCACCCTCTGTCCCCTCCCCACCCCCCATTGTCCTCATCCATAGGCGCACAGTTTATGTTCAGTCTCTTCCTCCCTCCCTTCCCCCCACCCCAAAAGAGTCAGTCCACTCCCCTCCCATATCGCCGATTCTACTACAATGAACAGCTATTATTGTTCATCAGGTTTTTCAATCTCCTTTTTTGTTGTTGTTGTTTTTTTAATTAATAAACTTTTAAACTTCTAAGAATAAATTTTAAAATCTAATAATTTTAAACTGTTTTTTTACTGCCCTGGGAATTGAGAAGCAAACTTGTTTACATGTAAACTTGCCCTTAAGCTATCAAAAGGTGTAGCCATTCAAGTGTAAATGGACACATTGTTTAAAGATAGCTGCTGGTTGGAATTGGATTACCTGTTCTGGGTGGGAAGGGCTTGTCATTCCCTTTCTCCATTAAAATTAAGATGTTAGCTTTAAAACTTTTTGGCAAGAGACCTTAAACTTTCAGAACTTTAAATTTTTCAGATAGTAAATCAGTTACTCAGCATTTTCTCAATAATACCTCCACATGCCCAAGGATACACTTCACACAAAAGACATTTCCAAATAGATCAACCAACCTCATCCAGGCCCCACACAAGGCACTCACAGATCAACACCCCAGCGCTATACTAACTCAACATATCCAGATCTAAGCCTTCATCACTTGATTCAGCAGACCCTCAAGTTCCCGCAAAAGTTTCCAGCCAAGTCTGAGAGGCAGCCTTGGAACGGGGGCAGGCAAGGAGCGAGCTGTTCCGGGCCTGGCTGCTCCGGGCCTGGCCTCTGTTGCTCTGGTCCGTTCCACAACCAGCTGCTCCGGGTCTGGCCACTGCCGCTCCCGGCCTGGCTGCTGCTGCTCCGGGCCTAGCTGCATCCGGCCCGGCCACTTCGGGCCTGGTCGCTCCCGGCCTGGCAGCAGCTGCTCCAGGCCAAGCTGCTCCTGACCCGGCTGCTCTGGACCTGGCAGCTCCCGACCTGGCTGCTGCTGCTCCAGGCCTGGCCGCATCCGACCCAGCTGCTCTGGGCCCGGCTGCTCCGGGCCTGGCCGCTCCCAGCCTGGCAGCTGCTGTTCCAGGCTTGGCTGCTCCCGGCCCGGCTACTTCGGGCCCAGCCGCTCAGGGCCTGGCTGCTCCGGGCCTGGCCGTTCCCGGCCTGGCAGCTGCTGTTTTGGGCCTGGCTGCACCCGACCCAGCTGCTCTGGGCCTGCCTTGCTGTTATCTTCAAATTATCTTGATTCTCACTCATCCAGCAGCATATATTTAGTGAGTACCTACAATGTGTCCAGCACAGTACAAGTGCTGGGGGTACAGAGGTGAACAAAATGTCCAGCCTCCTGGAATTGATATTCTGTATGGGGAAACAAGGTAAAAATGTATAGTATTTTAGAGGGGAAAAACAAACAAACAAAAAAACTGGAAAATTGACCAATGGTTGGTGAATGGATAGGGAAAATGACATATCTCTACAACAAAAAGGATGAATTGGCACATGCCTGCTACATCACGGGAAAAAGGGGCCAGGCACAGAGATTACCTGTTGGATATCATTCATATGATGTGCTCACAGAAGGCAATTAGAATGGATTAGTGGTTGCTGAGAGCTAGTGGGAATGGATTTTAACTGTAAATGGGCAGGAGGGATCTTGGAGTGGAGGTGCGAAAATGTTCTAAAATGGATTTAGGAAGACAGTTGAACCACTTGATAAAGGTTGTTAAATATCACTGAGTTTACATTTGAAAGGGTTGAGATTTATGTAACTTATACCCCAATAAAATCGATTAAAAATATGTGCTGCCAAACTGGTTTGGCTCCATGGATAGAGCGTCAGCCTGCGAACTGAAAGGCCCCAGGTTCGATTCTGGTCAAAAGCATGTACCGTGGTTGCGGGCATATCCCCAGTAGGGGGTGTACAACAGGCAGCTGATCATCGATGTTTCTAACTCTCTATCCCTCTTCCTTCCTCCCTGTAAAAAATAAATAAAATATAACTAAAAAAAAATATGTGCTAAGAAGAGAAATGGAGCAAAAACAGGGACTAGGTAAAACTATATGGTATGTTGGGGAGGGGTTGGATTTTAGGTGGAGATACCAAGGAAAGCATCATTAAAGTAATTTTTTTAAATTTTATTTTAATATATTTTATTGATTCTTTACAGAGAGGAAGAGAGAGGGATAGAGGGAAACATCAATGAGAGAGAATCATTGATCAGCTGCCTCTTGCACACCCCCCACTGGGGATGTGCCCATAACCAAGGTACATGCTCTTGACCAGAATCGAACCTGGGACCCTTCAGTCCACAGGTCGACGCTCTATCCACTGAGCCAAACCGGTTTCGGCCATTAAAGTAATTTTTAAGTAAAGATCTGACAATGAGAAGCAAGCCATGCAAGGATCTGGAAGGACTATCAAGTGCAAAGGCTCTCAGAATGGCAGTGAGAATGGAGGGGAAAAAAATGGGGAGGAATGGGAGACGATGTCTTGTAAATCAAAGATCTTTGTTCTTTACTCTGAATGAGAAGAAATGATTGTGAAATGATTGTGGTTTTCCCCACAACTGGATGCAGGATATGAAAGTGGCTGTCTCTCCACACAGGTCATATGTTCCAGCAGTGTGGGGACCTTGTCTACTTTATTCAACCCAAGAACAGCATGGCTCAGAGTTGGT